CTGAATAATTTAGTAAAAAAAATTTTTTCTTTTCTCTCTCTCTCTCTCTCTCTCGGTTTAGTTTTTAATAAAAAGTAACAACCTTGCCAATGTATTAATTTTATAAATGCACTTTTTTCAAATTATATATTAAGTTAATTTTAATTTTTGTTTGTTTTAAAAATATTTTATCCTTTTATTAAAATGTAAATGACTTTATCCTTATTTTTTTTTCAACATTTTTTTATTTTCATTGAATTATGTTAAAAATGGAAAGTTTTTGTGAAAGTGACATAATATATATATTTCAAAACAATAAAATAATTGTATTCAGGACAAAAATTAAGAGTGTGAAGGAAAAAAAAGGCAATTTGGTTTTCAAAGATTTAAAGAAATAAATTTTAAAAAGAATTATTATATAAAATTTTTATTTTTAAATATTTATAAATTAATAACGATAATGTAAAAATTCAAAAATAATTATTCACATGTAATATTTTTATGTTATAAACTTTAAAATGTTTAATTTTATAATTATTAACAGTTCGTCTTCTAAAAAAAAAAAAAAAAAAACATCAAATTATTAATTTTTAAATGGATTTAAAAAATCTTAAAGTAGAAATCCTGTCCTAAAACTAAAACATTCCAGATTTTTTTTTTTTTATTAACATTCTACAATAAAAACAAAACTTAAAAATTAATTTAAATTATTTTTTTGTAAAAATATACACAATTTGTATGATAAAAAAAAAATTAAATGTAAATATATAATTTTTGTAAAAATATTAGTGACAAGACAAAAAACCAGTCAGACATTACAGACATTGTTTGTGTACAAGCCATAGAGTAAGACAAACACGTTAATAACGAAAGCGGGAAAAAATTAATTTTTTGTGTTTAAGATTGTCAGCCCTGAGTTTCCTTTGAAAAATAGATTATGGTTGCTGTTGCCGTACACTATTTGTTATTAATTGCTTTTTTAAAAAATTGTATGTTTAGTTTCTTTTACATGTGCAATTTTTTATTATTTAATTTTTAGTATTATTATTAAAGAAACATTTTTAGCCTTTAATAATACAATACAGTTGTGAATTTTTTAATAATAATTTAGAAAAGTAATCGTCATCATTATAGGGTATTATTACTCTACATTTAGCTTTTACAGTAAGTCATTTTGTATTTTTTTAGAAAATTAATGTGAACATTAAAATTTAATTTTTGAAGATATTCATTTTTTTTCTAACTTTATTGCATTTAAACTTATATATTGTGTTGTATAAAAATTACTTTGTTTTTTCCATTATGGGCGATGACGAATAGTAATACACTATAATTATGTTTGAAAGTAAAAACAGGTTTAGAATTTAACTGATAACAAAGCCTTAAGTTAGTTTTTTTATGTTTTATGGTTTTGAAATGTTTTAATAAATTTTTTAAAACTGTTTTTATTATAAATATTTAATTTAAATATAAAATGATATATTTATGCATATTTAAATCAACTTGAAATTATGTAATTATAATAAAGTAATGGAGAGTTATTGCTTTTTTTTTTCAGAAGCCCAGAAAATAATATTAAAACTTTTAATTTAATTTGAAAAAAATTAAAAAAAAAAAAAAAAAAACTATCAAAATGATTGGAAGAAGTGCAGTTGCTGATTCTCTTTTTTTACCCCATCCTCTTCAATACTCACAGTATTGTGCTTCTTATGGGCAATATCCTGTAAAAATGAACACCTACGATAATGAGCCGAGCACAAGTTTTAATCAGATTCAAAACGTCGAAGTGACTCCTGATATAAATCAGTTTTATGCTTCAAAATCGAGTGTCAAAAAGGAATCAATATCGGAAAGTCCTTCATCAAGTGATGGCTATATCCCTGCTTTATCGGTTGATAGTAATAGCTATCCAAAATTAGAAGGAAACAATAATTTAATATGTAAAAAATGTAGTCACAGTTTTAAAAATTACAAAACTTTAACTCAACACATGCACAAAT